AAAGAGTCTGCACTCTGTGCTAAAGCATTAAGGACCCCAGGGAATTTGAAAACGGAAAGTCTTAGAGCCCAGCTTGGCATGAACCCCGAGGAGCACATCACCCAGCAAGCAGACTGAACCCACTTAGATCCTGCTGGGCGTGCCCGGAGGGCATCGCAGGGCTGGGCTGGGGCGTGGCTCGGTCCCCACCCAGTGTGGGGCGTGCAGGAGGCAGCCGATCCATGATTCTCTCTCATCATTGATGTTTCTCTCTCCCTCTCCCTTCCTCTCTGAAGACAATAAAAATACACTGAGTGGCCAGATTATGATGACCACCCCATCAGTACAATGAAGTGAATTAGTTATACAAATAATAATAAAACCTGGAAAGTACTTGCTTAGGAAATTTTCAGTGTTCAGTATTTTTGGAAGTGTCAATGAAGTACTGATGGGGTGGTCAATACAATCTGGCCACTCAGTGTATATTTTAAAAAAACATATGGATGCTGACATCTGCTTGGGGAGCTCAGAGGCAGGCCAGGCTCGGGCTGGCTGGGCATTTCGTAATGAGAGATGGGGCCTGAGGAGGAGCTGAGGGAGGCCCTCTCGGAGCACAGGGGGGTCAAGAGGGTGGGGAGGCCGGGGAGGGAGGAAGGAGGAGGAGAGGAGAGGGGTGGGGGTGTGGTGTCTAGCAGCAGGACAGCTAAGGAGGGCCACGGCAAGAGGTGAAGGACCCCTCTCAGGAGCCCATTGGAGCTGAGTGCACAAGGACGCCGGGGGTGCCTGACTTCCGGTGTCTCTAGGGCAACGGGACGCAAGGAGCATCAGTAACCCAGACATCAGGGAGCCGGGCCCAGCCTGGAGCAGGCGGAGAAGGCAGGCCACAGGAGGAAGAGTGGAGAAAAGGGAGGCGTGTGTAGGGTGAAAAGGAGGAGACTTCATCAAGATCCAGGGCCTCGGTTCTGATACTTTCGTATTTCCCGTCTACTGTGCAAAATGTGGGGAGAGGCTCGGCCACGTGGGGGCCGGGAACATATTGGTGCACAGGGAGCTATACCTCAAGAATGCACCCCAGCCCTGGCCGGTTTGGCTCAGTGGACCGAGCATCGGCCTGTGGACCGAAGGGTTCCGGGTTCGATTCCGGTCAAGGGCACCTACCTCGGTTGCAGGCCCTCCCTTGCCCCTCCCTGGCCCGGGCTCTGGTCGGGGCACGTGTAGGAGGCAACCAATTGATGAGTTTCTCTCACATCGACGTTTCTGTCTTTCCCTCTCTTACACTCTCTCTAAAAAAGTCCATGGAAAAATGTCCTCGGGTGAGGGTTTAAAAAAAACAAACAAAAAAGAATGCACCCCACGCTCATGAGTCCGGTTCACGGAGCCAGGGACCCACCCCCGCCCCGGAGGCTCTGATGGGGCAGAACCCGTTCTGTTTGGAGGTGCCTGGCGCTGCCCGGCCCCCTGGAGCCCCGGAGGCAGATGGGGCCACTTCCAAACAAGGCCGCCGTGCTCGGCCTCTGGAAGGTTTACACTGACATGTACTTGGCTTCCACCCACTTCATCCTCTTATCCTTCGCGAGGAGAGTTAAGAGCCCTGACCCCCAGGCAGGCGGCGCTGGGAGAGCTGTTGATACCAAGTTTGTCGATGGGCGGCCCTGGGAAGCCGGCCTGGCCCCGGTCCGGGGGCTGCTGGGGGAGGCCGGATGCAATCCGGGTCCGCCTGGCTTCCAGGCAGTGCTGTCTGCATAAGGAATGCGGAGGAGGCTCGGGGCGAAGGGATTAGCGTGATGCGCGCTGGCTGCTGGGCCAGCGACATTTTTTCATCGGAGGGCAATGCCTTGCATGGGCAATCAGCAGGCAGGCTAGGGAAGATGCCCCAGGGGAGATTTTTTTGTTCTCATTAATTATTCTTTTTTATTTTTGCCTTGTATTTATTGGCCTGAACTTTTTTGCTGTTGTTAAGACTTGTCCGAGGATATTTTTTTCCACTGAATTTTAGAGAGAGGGTGGGAGGGAGAGAGAAACATCGATGTGAGAGAGACAATGATGTTACTATCGCTGTCTCATCATGGATGTTACTCTCTCTCTCTCTCTCCCTTCATCTCTGAAATCGATAAACATATTTAAAAATAAACAAAAATAAACACTGATCACCTCTGAGAGCAGAGCGGACCTCCCTGGGCGCCCAGCCGGGTTCCCTCGGGCACTTGACCACCTGCATTCGGGTGAAAACCAGAGCTTGGAGGAAGGCCGCACAGGGAGACACCAAGGACCTGGTGGCGCTAAGATGCTGGGCTAACGCCTCGGCCGCTCCCCGAAGGCCCTGCGTCACAGCTCCGTCCACCTGCTCGCCCATACCCAAGGCCCAGACGTGTGCAGGCCAGGCGGGCAGCAGGCAGCGCCCACCACTCACCCACCCACGCAGCCACGGAAGGCTGGCTCTCACCGTGGTGCTCGGGCCTCCCGGACGCCGCGGCGGCGCGGGCGACACAGTGCGCGGACTCCGCTGCCTCCTCTCCGGACGGCTCTGCGCTCAGGACGATGAGATGCGCCTGTCGCCGTGGGAAGAAGGAACAGGCCGGTTTCCATGCTTGGCAGCAGCGCCAGGGGACTCACTGTTCTCGTGGCGATAAGGACACCAAGGAACATTCTAGCCCGCTGGCCAATGTGATGGATGTGGAGGCAACAATGTGCTTTGGGAGAGATGGACTTACCAGCGCTGAGTGGAGGGAGCGGGAAAGCACTGGACACTGAGTCCCCAAGGGCTCGAGGCTGCGGCCAGAGGCCAGGCCCATCGCTAAGCAAATTACTTCACAGGCTCTCTGCTCCTGGGAGAGGGGTGTGGGCAGAGGAGGTGGGAGGGCCTCCAGGAGGAAGGAGATGGATTTAAAAGGGCCAGTGCTGCCCTGGAGGGTTTGGCTCAATGGTTAGAGCATCAACCCTGGGACGAAAGGGTAGTGGGTTTGATTCCTAGTCAAAGGCACGTATCTGGGTTGCAGGTCCTAATTACTTCACAGGCTCTCTGCTCCTGGGAGAGGGGTGTGGGCAGAGGAGGTGGGAGGGCCTCCAGGAGGAAGGAGATGGATTTAAAAGGGCCAGTGCTGCCCTGGAGGGTTTGGCTCAATGGTTAGAGCATCAACCCTGGGACGAAAGGGTAGCGGGTTTGATTCCTAGTCAAGGGCACATATCTGGGTTGCAGGTCCCGCAGACCCAGTATGGGCAAGTGCAGGGGGCAACCAATCAATGTCTCTCTCATGTCAATGTTTCTCTCCCTCTTTCTCTCTCCTCAGTCCTCCCTTCCTTCCATCTCTCTCTCCCCCTTCCCTCCCACTCTCTAGAAATCAATGGAAAAAATATCCTCAGGTGAGGATTTAAAAAGAAAAAAAAGGGGGGGGGCAGTGCTGTGCAGAGGAAGTGGGCCAGCCCCGACCCTCCACCCACTGGTCAGCTCAGCACCGGGTCTCCCCCACCGGCCCCCACCTCAAAAATAAAGCCGATTTTTCAATTCCTTTGGGAAAAAACACAATCCTATGATCCAGGGGACATGAAATAATAATGGATCCTTGCAAGTAAAATACAAAGTGCATCGCTTCAAGTAAAGAGATGTAAAATACATGCGCGGATGAAACGGCAAAGTCACTTCTCACCTGCCCGTCGGCAGGGGGAGTTTTACAAATGCCTGTGAGTAACGTGTGTCCATTGATCCGACACACAGGTACTTACAGATCGCCCGCTACCGGACACGCGTGGGCCAGAAAGTAGGGCGGAACAGGAAGAAACAGACAAAAACACCAAGTCACACAAGGCACTACCGCGAGAGGGCCGGGAGCTCTCCACAAATTGCCCAAAACAGAAAGACCAAAATACCACGCGTTTCAAGGAGAGAAACACTAGGCCAAACATAGGAATCACAACTGATATTTAAGCTGCACACTTTTAATATATATAATATGTATATATTATATGTATATATTATACATATATATATAATATGTATATATACATATTATATATATATATACACATATACTTGTTTTAAAAACATGTTTTTACGACCCGGGCCTTGGCCCCCGCCCAGGGCTGCACGGGGCTGTCCCAGGGCCTCTTGGCCCCTCCCTGCTGTGGCTGCGGGCTGAGTTTCACTTTCTTTTTGGCAGGAAGGAATGTTTGGGCACTACTTTTGTTATTAAAGAGTACAAACAAATGAGAGAAAGTGGTCTTGGCAACGCCCCCGATTAGTCATTCCCCTCCCTTTCTCTCCTCCCCATCCCCGAAGTCTGGCCTGAAGGGCCGACTGAGATGCTTTTCAAATAGCAGGCTCCCCGGAAAGCCACGCCCTGTGAGTGAAGACAGCAGGAGCCACGGGGATGGAGTCAAGGGGCCTCGTGGTCAGTGTCTGGGGAGAGGAAGAGAGACAGGCGAGCCTGCCCCGCTCCACATGCCAACGGAATCATGTTTATGATTCTGCCCTGGGCTCGCTATAGGGAAGCTCTTCAGGGCCACACACACTACAGGGGCGTGGGGGCGGCCGCGGGGACCTCAGCTAAGAGCAAGACGGAGCTGGGAATCCCCGGGGCGGTAGCTGGAAGGGACGTCGCTGGGTGCCCGTGGCCGCAGAAAACCGAGTTCTCGGGGCCCCGGCCTGAGCCAGTTTCTTTTAATAGTCGGAGAGAGTCCTCCGTGGCAGCTCTCCAGCGGTCAATTTTAGCTTCTCAAAGGGCTGGCGAGAAAAGGCCCTGCCCGCCACCCCGTGAGGGTTAGCACCAAAATAGATGTGTCGGGGGCTTGCATTTTCGTCCAGTTTTGGTTGCAAGTAGGTGTTCTCTTAACACTTAACTAGGCGTTTAGATTGGAACGCGAACACCTGCCTGTCACTTTAAAAACTCCAAGTCAGTGGTTCTCAACCTTCTGGCCCTTTAAATACAGTTCCTCATGTTGTGACCCAACCACACAATTATTTTCGTTGCTACTTCATCACTGTCATGTTGCTACTGTGATGAATCGTCATGCAAATATCTGATATGCAGGGTGGTCTTCGGCGACCCCTGTGAAAGGGTCATTCAACCCCCAAAGGGGTCGCGACCCACAGGTTGAGAACCGCTGCCCTAAGTGGTAGAAAAGAATAAACAACAACTTCAATGCCCCCTCCCTTCTGTCCCTAGCCGTCCTCTCTCTTCTCCCCACGCCCAGTCTGATTCCGGATGGCTCCCTGCTGTCCACTGTTCCCCGTGTATGCTCTCGGAAATCTGATGTGCGCCCACCAGCGTGGCTCGGTGGCTGAGCGCTGACCTATGAACCAGGAGGTCAGGGTCCGACTCCACCGGCGGTGGCCTCGTGGGGCTGGCTCTATTTTTCTCCACTTGCATGGGTTCGCTCCTGAAAGACTTTGGACTGTTGTACATTCTGCAGAAAACGAAAGGTCTTTTCTCTCTGGTGCTTGTCACCGCGAAGGAATGCAGAGTGACAAACAAGATGGGAAGTAACAGGCCCCTTTTCTTTGCGTGGATCGAATAAATGGCTCTGAGGCAGGAGCTCCCCCCCAGAGCTGTGGCCACACTGGGCCTTTCTGTGTCTTGGGGGACGTCCCTAGAGAAAAGGGGGCCTTGATAAACATCTAATGGTGGCTGCTGACACATAAATGGAGCTTGTGCAGGGGACACGCCCACCGGCTCACAAAACGCCATCTGTTGACCCTGTGAGCGGGTCTATGAAGTGGGTGAGGGTCTTCTTCCCTTTCCTTTCCTTTTCTCGAGGGGTTAAGTGACTTCTTTCATCAGATCTTCCCATTCCAAATCCAATGCTATTTAGATTTCACCAAGGGACCTCTTGAGCAAGAATCGGCAAGTCTTGACTGAAACTCTCTAATCTTTATGAACCTCAAGAATAAACAAGAAGAAAAGTCGCCTGTCACACTTGACAAGTATGCCCTGGCCAGTTTGCTCAGAGGTGAGAGCGTCAGCCCACAGACTGAAGGGTCCTGGGTTCGACTCCCGGTCGGGGCACATGCCCGGGCTGTGGGCTCGATCCCCAGGAGGGGGCGTGCAGGAGGCCGCCGATCCATGATTCTTGCTCATCATTGATGTTTCTCTCTCTCTCTCCCTCCTTCTTCCTCTCTGAATTCAATAAAAACATATTAAAAAGAAAAAGAACAGTGTTGGGTCGGGAACAGCTCTGGCGGCCCGCGTGCTGCAGCTCACCTGTAGGAAGTGGTTGATGGACGCGTCGTGGAGTCTCAGGGCCCGTTCTGCGCCCGCCAGTTCCCTCAGCACCGGCACACATTCGAGACTCTTTTCCCCTTTGCTGCTCTCCGTGTGTTCTAATGCCTCTTGGTAGTAGGGCAGGGCTTCCTTGGATTTCCTCCGGCCCCGATACATCCTAAAATACCAAAGTGACAGTTTTTAGACTAAGTGCAATGGAAAATGCTGGAAATCCGGGTGGTCTGGGTGGTGAGGATTTGGCTCTCCGATCCCTGCTGTCCAGGTTCGTTTCCTAGCCAGCTATGACATTTTAGAAAATGTATATTTTTTAATGGATTTCAGAGAGGAAGGAAGAGGGAGAGAGATAGAAACATCAATGATGAGAGCGAATCATGGATCGGCTGCCTCCTGCACACCCCCTATTGGGGATCGAGCCCGCAACCCAGGCATATGGCTTGACTGGGAATAGAACCGTGACCTCCTGGTTCATAGGTCGACACTCAACCACTGAGCCACACTGGCCTGGGGGGGCCCATAGTAATTTATCTTGAAAGATACTCAGGCAAGACAAGAAGATCTGCATGTAAGAATGTTTACCTAAGCATCCTTTGTAATAGCGGAAAAGAACAAAGCACTTAAATTGCACCCATAGGCAACCGTCCAAGCAGGTTACAGGAAGTACATCCATACACCGCGGAATGCCACTTAGCCATTAAAGTTAAAGTCGATCCATACTTATCCATGCAGAAGTACACCCACTACATACTCTAAGCGAAAAAGCAAATTACAAAAATAACTTTGTATGATATACAAAACCTTTATATCTAATCTATAGGTTCACAAATGCATCAAGAGATATTTAACCCTGGCGGGTGTGGCTCAGTTGGTTGGGCGTCGCCATTTCAATTCCTGGTCAGGGCACATGCCCGGGTTGTGGGCTCGATCCCCAGTGTTGGGGGGGGGTGGGTAGCGCGTGCAGGAGGCAGCCGATCCATGATTCTCGCTCATCATTGATGTTTCTCTCTCCCTCTTCCTTCCTCTCTGAAATCAATCAAAATATTTTTTTTAAAAAGAAGCTAAGAATATAATAATTGGGCTTTGAAAGCATCATATTTTATTTCTGAAGAGAAAACCGGCTAGCATCTCTGGTGACAGGCAGAGGCTTTGAAACACAGGGCTGGTAACATATCACTTAGCCAAAGAATACGGTTCCTGGGAGACAAAGATCACATAACTGAACACAGAAGTCAGCCAACTATGGCCTTTGGGTCAAATGTACTGTTTTTATACATAAAGTTTTATTGGCACATAGCCACGCCCACTTGTTTACACACTGTCCAGGGCTGCTTTTGCATATGGCCTAGGAAGCATAACATACTTACTGCCTGGGCCTTTACAGCAGGGGTGGGTTGGAATGTCCCTGTAAGGCAGGCCCCTGAAATCATTAGCTCTGGCCCTGCCAAGGCATTAGGGGTGGGTTAATTACATGTTTGACCAAATAGAGCGGGCTAATTTTTAAGCTGATCATTTTGCATGGCCCACGGATGATGTGATAAATATCCACATGGCCCAGGGCAGAAAATAACGCCCCACCCCTACTTTACAGAAAAAGCTTGCCAACCTCTGGTCTAGAATCTAGAGCAAGTCGCATAGTTTCAAAATGACTGCGGATTTTTTCCACCGAACTGCGCCTCGGGAACTCAGACAATACCACAGATATTTGAGTAAAGGAAAAAAAATCACCTTGTTCCTCTCAAGCTCATAAAGGATGAAGCATGTGCCCAGGGAGTCAAGAATCGGCCTCTCGTTTCCAAGGCTCCTTAAATGGCGTGCGTGTCCTGGGCACTGGGCTTGCTCATCTTAGTCCTGGCTCTGGTCTGACGACCTAGATCAGTGGTTCTCAACCTTCCGAATGCCGCGACCCTTTAATACAGTTCCTCATGTTGTGGGAGCCCCCAATTTCATTTTTACAAATTGAACATAATGAAAGCATAGTGATAAATCACAAAAACAGTACATAATTATCTATGTGTTTTCCGATGGTCTTAGGGGACCCCTGTGAAAGGGTCGTTCGATCCTCAAAGGGGTCGCGACCCACAGGTTGAGAACCACTGCACTAAGGGGCTATAAGAATAAGTAAATTATAATAATAAGTAAATAATTTCTGTGCTTTTGAGTCAGTACACTGGGGATTGAGCCCACTATCGGGGCATGTACCCCGACTGGGAAAATCGAACTGTGACCTCCTGGTTCCTAGGTCGACGCTCAAACCACTGAGCCACGCCGGTCAGGCTCTCATACCTCAGTCCCGCTCTGGGAACACGCCCCAGAGATAACGTGCAAGTGCCCAAAGAGACATGCAGAAGAGCGTCCCGCTCTGGGAACACGCCCCAGAGATAACGTTGTGCAAGTGCCCAAAGAGACATGCAGAAGAGGAATCAGGGAAATGGCATTTCTAGGAGGGAAAGTTTGGAGGCAATTTACAAGTTTTACTCTCATGTTCATGAGAATGGATCATTCAATCCATTTCGTCTCTCCCCCTCCCTTCAACTCTCTCTGAAAATCAATGGAAAAATATCCTTGGGTGAGGATTAACAAAACACACAAAACAACAACAAAAAGCTGGGGGAATCGGAACACAGGGTTGGATTCACTCTCCAAAGGGAGTAAGAATGACTGGGTGGAATGGTGCTGGGACAGCGGCGGACAGGTAGGAGGGACGGAGCTGCAGGCCCCAGGGAGGGCTGGGAGGCTGGGAGCATGAGTCACTCTGCAGCACTCATCTGCCTGCCGGAGGAGGAAAGAGCTGGCCTGGCCAACGGGCACCATAAAAGGCGAGACCGATGGAGGAGGTGGATGCACCTAAAAGATACCCTTTTAAGAGAAACACAAATCCCGTGAGAGCTGCCTGAGGGATTATCCAGGCCTTCCACCTCCAGGACCCGGCCCTTGGGGTTAGGACTGTAGCTACAGAAACGCACAAACCAAAGCCTCCTTTGCTTTCTTCTTTGTTTGTTTTAGCCTCACCCCGGGATATTTTTTCCACTGATGTTTAGAGAGAGCGGAAGACTAGGGGGTTGGGGAGAGCACAGAGACACAGAGAGAAACACCGAAGAGAGAGAGAGACACATTGATTGGCTGGCTGCCTCCCGCACGGGGATCAAACCTGCAACCATCAAGGCACGTGCCCTTGATGGGAATGGACCCCATGACCCTTCGGTGCATGGGCTGAGCTACACCGGCCGGCCAGGGCAAAGCCTCATTGCTTTTAGAGCAGATCAGTGTGGGCAAAACAGTCACACTTCAGTCAAGAAACAAAGCATGAAAACCACCAGTTGAAACACGCGAGTTCCAGTAACTGGGTCGAGGGGAAGGTTCAGGATGGAAGAGGAAGTAGCGAAGTTTCAAACAACTCCCCTAAAGACAAGGTAACTAACTGTCGGACAGCTGAGAAAGGGGACTCACAGGCATTCAGGACAGATGCGTACAAGGCCCGCCACCTGCTGGCGGGATTTGGTACCGCTGGTCTGGAGAGCACGCCCAGAGGAGGTGCCGGATTCTGGGTGGAGGAAGGCATTTCTACTCGACTTTGCAGCCACGTTGTTCAACATGAAGCACAAGTAACATTAGTCAGATCTCAACAGATGGCGACAAACATCAGATCCGGGGCCTCTGATGTGCATACTTCCTGTCTTACAGGGCACGAGAGAATGCCTACTTCTGGGCAGGGAGCAATTCTGGGCTAGCAGCCTTTTGCAACCACTACCATCTCCTGTTACAAACATGCATGCGATCAGACGGTATGATGAATTCGTTGGGGGTCTGGCTTCTTACACGAACACTGCTTGTGAGAGTCACTCATGAAGTTAAACATAGGAACGCTCTGATCATCTTCTTTGGATGAACATATCACAATTTGATCTATTCTACCTTCCTGGCAGAGGCAGCCATCAGCTTATTTTTTAAGTATTTTTTTGTTAGTGTTTCAAATTTACCTTTATTGTTGAAAATATTACAGATGGCCCTGGCCGGTTTGGCTCAGTGGATAGAGCGTCGGCCTGCAGACTCAAGGGTCCCAGGTTCGATTCCGGTCAAGGGCATGTACCTTGGTTGCGGGCATATCCCCAGTGGCGGGTGTGCAGGAGGCACTCAATAAAATATATTTTTTTAAAAAGAAAATATTACAGATGTCCCCCCTTTTTACCTCCACTGACCTCCCCATTCATCCCAGTAAAAAAAAATCAATAAAGTTTAAAAAAAAAAAAAAGAAGAAAATATTACAGATGTCGCCCCTTTTTACCTCACTGACCTCCCCATTCATCCCGGCCCCGCCCCTCCCAGGCCCCCACCACACTACTGTCTGCGTCCCGGTTATGCATTTGTTTAAAGTATTACATATGTCTCCTTTCCCCCATTGACCTCTCCCCAGTTATTCCTACACTTCATTCACCACACTACTGTCTGTGTCCATGGGTTATGCATATATGCATATAAGTTCCCCGATAGTCTCCCCACCCACCCACCTTCCCTCTGAAATTCACCAATCTCTCTCTCTCTCTCTCTCTCTCTCTCAAGTCAATAAATGAAAATAATAAAGAAGATACGCTGCTGTTTTAACCTCCCACCCAACAGAACATATCAGATGCATAAAACAATGACTGGCAGAACCATGGACAGCGCTAAATAGCCCAATAATTGTGCGTCAAAATTCAAGCGCGCTTACCTTCAAAACTAATGCATCAAAGTCGCAAAAGATAAAACAAAAATATGAATTTGAATCACCCCTAAGGCGGACTTATTGCAACCTTACACACGACAATTAAAGAACACAATTTCCCTTGTAGCTCCCTGGGAGCCTTCCCAAAACTTGGCCCTGGACTAGATCCCAAAGGAAGTTTCAGTAAATTGCAGAGTCCATACCAGACATATATGTTTCTGTCTATAATACCATAAAATTAGACAGGAATAGCACCCAAACACCCAGAAAAAAAAAATCTCACATATCTTCAAACTAAAACACAGATCACGTAAATAATCATTGGCTTAAAGGGTAATTTATACATTAAGTTATAGATGCTAAAAACTAGATCCCCAGGAGTGGGGCGTGCAGGAGGCAGCCAATCAATGAATCTCTCTCATCATTGATGTTTCTCTCTCTCTCTCTCTCACTCTCTCTTCCTCTAAGAAATCAATAAAGGCAGTTTTGAAAAATAAGGAACTTCCTGCCTGGAGATAGAGTCCTCTGGCAAAGAGCCGCCAGCCGTCACGCTTACGAAAAGTCCTGCCCTGAAAACCTACCGTGCGAATGACAGTTTGATGCGAGCTTGGGTTTCTATCCACTCTTCCTTCACGATCCTTCCACATCGCAGCAGCTCCTTTGAAAGCCTCTCTGCTTTTGCCAAGTTCTCTTCGGCCTCCTTAAATCTGACCTGCGTTCAGGAAACGTGACCCTTGGTTCTGGATTCCGGGACCCTAGTTCCTGGACATCCTGGGCTCTCTACACTTCCCATCACCCTTCCCGGGTCACCTGTCAGCTTTGGGAATCCTATATAATAAAAGCCTAATATGCAAATTGTCCCCTCAACCAGGAGTTCGACCAGGGGCGGGGCCGGCCGGCCAACTGCGGAAAGGGAGGCCCTGGCCAGTGGTGGTGGCAGCAGGCAGCTGGGGAAAGGGAGGTCCCAGCCGGCAGCTGGCACCCAGCAACCGCTAGGGACCCTACCTGTGCATGAATTTCATGCACTGGGCTTCTAGTTATATATAAGGAACATGAGCAGTATGTCTCTTTGTAAGTAGAGGCCAAAGGATATTTTTTTTATTGTTGTTAATCCTCACACTAGGGTATTTTCCACTGATTTTTTTTTTGAGAGAGAGTGAAAGGGATGGGGAGAGACAGAGAAACATTGATGTGAGAGAGACACATTGATTGGTTGCCTCCTGCACAGGCTCCAACTGCGGCCTGGGATTGAGTCTGCAACCGAGGAACATGGCCTGACCAGAAGCCGTATGTCTCTTTGTAAGTAGAGGCCAAAGGATATATTTTTTATTGTTGTTAATCCTCACACTAGGATATTTTCCACTGATTTTTTTTTTTTTTTGAGAGAGTGAAAGGGATGGGGAGAGACAGAGAAACATTGATGTGAGAGAGACACATTGATTGGTTGCCTCCTGCACAGGCTCCAAGTGCGGCCTGGGATTGAGCCTGCAACCGAGGAACATGGCCTGACCAGAAGCCAACCCGAGACCCTTCAGTCCGCAGGCCAACGCTCTACCCACGGAGCCACACCGAAAAGGGCCAAAAGGATACTTCTGAAGGGAGAGTAGGGCTCTCCCCAGGGTATGGAATAGCTCAACGGAACACCTGAAAACAGCCGTGTTGTCATCACAGGAAGGCATGATGGAGTTGGTGAGGATTTCTCTGGCTTTCTCTGCATGGTGTTTGGCCTGCAGGGACGTTCCTGGGGACAAAGAAGAGGAAGTCTCAATTTCTCTATCATCTCAGTGGGCAAGAATATCGTCAGGGAATCCAATGAGGTCTCCTTGACCTACTTACTGTCAAGGGGAGAGGTACTGGGGCAGCAGGAAATACTGCCATTACTGTAGCAACCAAAGTGTTTTATACTTAGTACAGAAGATGAAATTTCCAAGATAAGATCATTTGTAGTCAAGATAAGATCATTTCTCCTCGAAAATGGTCTTCTTATTTATCTAGTTTTTTTAAATACATTTTTATTGATTTCAGAGAGAAAAGGAGGAGCAGAGAGAGAAAGAAACATCAATGATGAGAGAGAATCATGGATCGGCTGCCTCCTACACGCCCCACACTTGGGATCGAGCCTGCAACCCGGGCATGTGCCCTGACCGGGAACCAAACTGTGACCACCTGGTTCCTAGGTCAGTGCTCAACCACTGAGCCATGCCAGCTGGGCCCAAGAACCCCACTTTTAAGACCCTAAAAATCAAAACTCCAAGGGCGCAAATCTTCCTGCTCTTTTTTTATACATTATATATAAAAAGATCTTATTGACTCTTTGTGAAGGGAGATGGCTTCCCCATGTGTGCAGAGGAGAATGATCAGGGTAGTTTAATCCTTGCAGTTACATGTTAGTCCAATTTGGGGGAAAAAAGCAGAATCCAACCAACTGAGCCTCCTGGGTCTGAGCTGAGCTCACCTTTCAGCTGGAGGTAGCCTTGAGCCAAATTAACATACGCCTCTGCTAGTTTCCAATGGCAGCTGCCATAGCAGATCCTGGTCAACGCTACGCAGCGCACGAGCTCCTGGATCGCCTGCTTATACTGTAAGGAAAAGAAAACAGGCTTACTATTAAAAAAAATGTTTTTTAAATATATTTTTATGGATTTCAGAGAGGAAAGAGGGAGAGATAGAAACATCAATCTATAATAATAAAAACGTGATATGCTAATTAGACCAGACAGCCCAACGACCTTCCGGACATCCTCCCGGATGACCTTCTGATGAAGCCGGGGCTGCAAGGGCCGAGTCCCTTGCACAAATTTTGTGCATCGGGCCTCTGGTAAGAGATAATCATCAGTCGGCTGCCTCCTACACGCCCCCTCCTGGGGATTGAGCCCGCAACGGGGGTATGTGCCCTGACGGCGAATCAAACAGTGGCCTTCTAGCTCATAGGCTGATGTTCAACTACTGAGCCACACGGGCCAGGGCAGAATCTCCTTCTTTTTATGGCTGAATGATATTCCATTGTGCATGTACATACATACACATTTTCTTGGGAACGTCACCTAAGCCATTGCCCTTCTCAATGGCCCGGGCACAGGGATGGAGAAGGAAGGCTCCTCACCTCGTGCCGGCTGGAGTAGAACTTTGCTTTGTCTTCGCAGAGCTGGAGTTGCTCTCGCGGAGGCTGGAAGAGGACCGAATGAGGCAGCCTGCTGGCGAACTTCTTTCCCGGCGTGATGCTGACAGCAGCCACAATTTCGTCTAAGTACTTGGATATGTGGGTTTCCTGTGATTCTTGCATAGCTTTATAGGCATTATCCTCTGGTTTTTAAATAAAAAAAAAGAGAGAGAGAGAGGTGTTAGGTGATCTTTTTCATATCAACTTTTCCCCTAGAAACTGAGGGTAGGTTCCAGGAAGATTTCAACACTATATTCAGGACTTCTTTGAAAACAGGAGCATTCTCGCCCAGCCTGTGTGGCTCAGTGGTTGAGCATCGACCCGTGAACCAGGAGGTCACGGCTGGATTCCCGAACAGGGTCCCTGCCAGGGCTGCGGACTCCATCCCCAGGTGGGGGGCATGCAAGAGGCAGCCGATCCACGATTCCCTCTCATCATTGATGTTCCTCTCTCTCTCTCTTCCCCTCTAAAAGCAATAAAAATATATTAAAAAATAAAATAAAAAAGAAAGTGGCCACGTTACCAAACAAGGTATTTAAAACATTCGTGTGTGTTTTTTTTTAAAGTTCCCTAACAATGCTTGGATTTTTTTTTTTGAACATAAAGCTCTCTTCCGTTGCTGTCTTTATTCCGATATAGACATTGAAGCAATGTTTATGCACAGCCTATTCAGCCACGCTAGGAACCGCCTCAATATTTAAATGACTAAGCTGTCACTGTCTTTTCTAGCAACAGGTGTTTCAGAGACCAGGTCACCGCCTCCTCTCTGGCAGGAACCTATCAGCGCGCACCGCCGGGCCCTTAAAAGCCGGCGCCCAGGCTCACGGCTTGCTCCCTAACGTTGGCCATGCTGCCGAAACCCACCCGGCCTCCGTTTTTCACCCGTCAAAGGGGGAGAATCAAGGTACTTGTGCCATGGGATTGGTGTGAGGGTTAAAAGAGGTACGCTATGCGCAGCTCTTAGCACGCCGCCTGGAACCCAACCAGCGCCCGGCATCAATTATTGTTGTAATCCCTCAACGTATACATTCAATGCGTGCACGGAGGCCTGAATGGACGCACGAACGAGAGCGCAGAGTAGTTACAGGCGGCCTCTGAGGTTGGAGCCGGACAAATCACACCCTCACCCCGCAAAAGCAAAAGGTACTCCTTCCTGACAGCAAGCCCGGAGCCGGAGCCGGAGCCGGAACCGGAAGCGAGGGTCGGAGGTGGGCGGGGCCCGTAGGCCGGAAGCGCTGCTCTCGACCAATGGCCACATGGCTTGGAAAACGAGCGTCTCGTCCTACCTATCGTGAGACCGCGAGAACAGGGGGCAATTATCGCGAGATTCCGTCCTCCTGCGCCATTCCCGCTTTCCCAGCTCT